AAGGGGACATTACAGCCGGTTCAAATAACAATTTACTCAGATAGTGAACACATGGAATTATGCTGAGATTGTAGGGGTTGTAGATGACATGCACATTACTTCATAGCATATCATGCTTTTCAAATTGTTTATATTCCGGAACAAAGGACCAGAATGAGACCTAGTTGCAAATGTGCATCTAAAAAAGGTGCTGAAGAACCTGAATTTTTTTCCTTGATCCTTGTTAGTTCTTTTGTAATACAAAGTTTATATATGACGGAGTAAGTGTACTTGTCAGTTTCTTTTTCATGTAAATCTAACATAGCAACTCAGTGCTGTGTTAGATAAACTACACTTTTCTGATATAATCTTTGATTTATTTGGTTAAATATATATCTGTCAACTAATACTTGTGTATAAGAATCTGAAAAATGAATGAATTATAGAGAGCTCTAAACAGTTACAAAACTTAGAAGCCATTTCCAGAATCTTCCTTTCATTTTAGGTTCACATCCATTTGTCTTTACAAAAAGGACAAGCTTGTCTGGGCTAAAAGAAACGGATTAATAGTTTATTTGGTTTAAGAGAGGGAAGGAAAAATAATTATAACCACTTAAATTATTTTGTTAGCTCAACAACTTAATTTAATAAGTGAAAATAAGAATCTTTCTCCCTTCCCTTCCCTCCATTTTCCTCAAACCGAGACAGTCTATAAAGGAAAATAAAATACCAGTAAGACAAAAGAAGTTGGGGAGTGAAGGGATTTCATTTGGATAAAAAGATAAATTGGAGGGGAGGGAATAAATTCTAAGATCCACTCAATTTCTTTAATGTTCATTCAATTGCTTAACAACTTACTATAACGCCCTCGAAGCAGAAAAACAACAATTCAAACCTCCTACTCTCATGCATCCAGCCTTGAATTAATTTTCATTTAGTCATTTTAGATAACTTAGTCATTTTCAACTGGACTAGCAATATGCCTAATAAAATCAAAGCCAAGTCACAAGTAATAAATACCCTCTTAATTAAACATGTTGATACGTCCACAGAAGGAACTATCAAGCTTACTAAGGAAAACATTAATTTGGGCAAACACAAGTTATACTACTTCTAATTGTCTTTGCTTCCCTAAGCAAGAACAGTTTCATATTCATTTGCTTCCTGGCAACAATTATCTAGTACCGATCACTTCTGATTAAAAACAAGAGTAAAGTTGAAGAATAATCAATATCAGCATGGAAAATTTTAATAAATTCAAGCAAGAAAGATAGGAAAATAGCCTAACAAAATATTAGTTACGGAAGGAATGTTAGCATTCAAATCCCAGTAATAAAGAACTAAAATCTTTTGCTGAGAAACACACATGGAGAGAGTTACATCATAAAACAAAATATTAGTGACTTGAGGAATGACATCTCTTCGTCAGATGATCGCGCTCAAACGAAACTAAAGTTCCTTGTGATAAAATTAAAGGATTTACAAAACAAAAGCAGCATTCAAATCTACTGGTGTTTTGCCAAACCGCAAGCCTTGAATTGTTATGTTTCCATGCAGGATTTATAGCCATTTCTATATTTCTATACTCCAAAACTAATGAAACAATACTAGAAACCAATCATGGCATTTAATATTTGTTTTAACAGAGCCGATCAAAATATATATATATATATATATATATATGTTTTAACAGAACTCTTATCCCCATGCATATCTACACCAATACATTTGGTTAAGGTCCTTTTTCGGCACCCATTTAAGAATTACCCAAGTGAACCCTTTTAACTTTTTAAGTTTTATCTAGAGTGAATCAATCCAATACTCACCTAATACCATGCTTAAGCTTGACAAACATAAAATCTTGAGCTCAATCTCCAACTCAAGCTCATTTATTCTCTCAAAGTTGGTTTAAAAGAATCATAAAACCCCAAAATGAACTAGTCTTGGCTATTTTTTAAGTGTAGAAACAATTATAATTAGCTTATTTAGCTTATAACATCAAAAAATGAAGGTGGAGGATCAGGTGAGAGTTTCTTGCATGACAGAATCTAGCCCATAGAGGATGCTCAAATCCTTGAATATATTAAATTTGATTGTCCCTGGCCTTTATATTGCACTCAGCTTCTTCTTGGGCTCAAATCTTAGCTAGAGTTCAGCATGAAATTTGAAAACAATGGTGAAAACCCCATCACAAAGTCAGCTTTGGCACATTTTACACTAGAAAACTAATAGCATATTAACTTAACACAAATTCAAATTCAACAAGCTAAAAAAGTCATCAGAAAACAAAATTAATGATGTATTGTTAAACAAGCATGGAATGGCTAATTCTCAGGC